GGGGGGAGGAGGAGGAGGCTCGGTCGGCCGGCCAACCTCGGTACACCGAATCTAATTAGTAATGCCGATTTAGCAAACCCTAATTGCGCGCCAACATATCACCCGCAATTTATGCGACGCCCGTGTTATGAATTACCCGGCCGGCCACCGCCCACGCGTTACCTGCGTCCAAACCTTCTTTCTCTCGCTCCCCGAGACTCGTATCAATTTCCATACTTGTCGCGACCGTGAACCCCATCGCGTTTGCCTCCGCGAAGGAGGGGGGAGAGGTTCGATTAACGCTCAATGCCGCTTCGAACATGCCCATAGTCTGTGGTTTCGTCCTTTCGAGATCAGAGGTTGGTGAAAGTGTTGGTCAAAGTGTCTCGTGGTGGAGGGTTTATCCCGTAAATTGAGAATTGTGTGGCTTACGATAAGAATGATAGAAAGGATGAAAGGATGATTGAAAATGTTCAGCGAGAATATCCTCGAAATATCGTGGAGAAATTATTCTCAAGTATAAGAAAATACGTAGGTTTAGTTGTGTAAGTAAGGAATAAATAAATTAATGGAATAACCTTGCGAAATATAAAATAAGAACGATATATTTTTTAATGTGCTGTTTTAATTCGAGATTATTCTCTTATAATTCGTAAATCGGCATAAATAATAACGCGCGTCAACTTAAAGTCGCCCCGTAGTTAAAGTCGTTGATATTGATATTTCCAAACGAATAAATTAATCGCTCGATCAACTAAAAATCGGTCTATCTGGAGGAAGGTGTCATCGCGTCGGTCTATTAAGTACGCGGCTCCGTGTCCAAACGTTTTAATAGCGGCGTTGATTTTGTACCAACCGCTTTGTCCACGGCTATAAAACTCATTAACGATGCATCGAGAGTGACGATGCCACGCGGCCAAATTTGCGGCCTCGATAATATCAAGTATCCGTTTGTTGTCTCGTTATTGGCCTATTGAATACCGATTCCGGGTAGGAAAAAAAAAATTCGATCGATCCCTTCCCGATCGGTTAATCGTTTCTCATTAACGGACAACGTTACACAATACCGGTTTGATCTAACACGATTTGCTCCAACAGCACGGTAATTTTAATTGCATAGTTTTAGAAATTAATAATCGTCGTATCGTATCTCATATAATTATCGCCATTGCCACGCGCACGCGCTTGTTCCTCCCTCCGTTATTATTGTCATGATTATAACGTTTCGAGAATATTCTATAATTAAATTACGAAATAATCAACTCTGCTTGCCTCCGTAAAACGCTATGTAATTTCTGCCGTCGTTAATTTATTTCAATTTATTTATGCGATAATCGATCCCGGCCATTCGATGCCCATCATCCACGATGACAGGACATTAAAACGGTCAGTGAACCCGTGACAAATTTAAATTGATGATTGGAGGAGCGCCGATTTTTCGGTTTATTAACTTTCGTCGGTTGTTCAATCGAAAGAAATGATTAATCGATGGTAAAGTTTCGACGTTGTACACATCGGTATCGGTATAGAAAGTTGAAATTTACCGTGTTCCATCCGCCTCCCCCTTCCCCTCCCAATGGAGAGAAGGGAGCGTATAATCGAATCTGTGCGTTGGAATATATATCGATTTGTCGCGGCTCTGGTC